GCAGAGCCCCTGAACCCCACTGCACTGATCTCCTCAACAGCTGGCAGGCATCATGGCTGCAGCAGGGGCACCATCCCTGGAGCTGTCACCCTGCTGCACCTTAATACACACAGGGTCACTCATGTCATGAGTTTTGCTTGTCCGCAGCTTGAGGTGCAGTTCCCCCCAAAACCCTGCACCAATCTTGAAACTTGTCAGGCTTTGTGGTCTCAGTAAGAGCTACCACCCCTGCAGTTTTGACCCCCTCCCCGTGGTGTAACACATAGATGTGACAGGAGTTTTGCTTTTGAGAATTTGGGGTACAGTTTCCCCAAGGTCCCTGCACCAATCTTCTTGAAACTTGGCAGACTTTGTGGCCTCTGTGAGAGCCACCATCTCTGCAGTTTTTACCCCCCTGTGGTGTAACACACAGCCAAGACATGAGTTTGGCTTTCAAGAATTTGGGGTACAGTTCCCCCTAAACCCCGGAACCAATCTTCTTAAAATATGGCAGAATTCATACTATTAGCAGAGACTACCATCCCTGCAAGTTTCATCCAAATTGGACAAAAAACAACAAAGTTATAGATATTTAATTGATTCCCCCATTATACCGTATGGCCAGATCTCCAAGGCAGCTCCAAAGCTTCCGAGCTGCTTCAGCCAGATCGAGGTGGAAACCCGGTCCAGAGCTCCAGATCGGATCGTGGCCATCTGAAGCAGCCAGATCCAAAGCTGGATTGGATCGCTGCTGACTCACACAGGCCTACTAAGTATATGGACTTGAATAAGGAACTGGCTTTTGGGCTGAGATTACAGATTGAAATCCTTTCTGACCTATCTGATACCATGCCTGTGTGCCACTGCAGGACTCTCCTGGACATTCCTGACCAGAGTCTTGCCTGGCCCAAAACACAGCTTAGCCGTGCCAGGCTGCCAACTGACAGCACCCCAGCCACAGTTCTAAGTATATGGACCCAAATAAGGAACTGGATTTGGGGCTGAGAGTATGGCTAGAAATCATTCTTGGTCCACCACACGGCATACCTCTGTGGCACTGGGGGACTCTCTTGGACATCTCTTCCCAGAGTCTTGTCCAGCCCAAAGCACAGTTTGTGCTTGCCAGGCTGCCAGTTGACAGTCCCCCCATGCCCACTGTACTAAGTGTATGGGCTCAAATAAGGATTTTCTTTTGGTCTGGGATTAGAAGTGGAAATCATTCTTGGGCCACCTGGGGCAGATCTACGTTCAGGATAGCAGCAGGCTACAGCTGCCAGCTGGGGCCAGCGCCAGCACTGGTTTCTTCCCGGTGCTTGGCGTGGGCTGTGCCAGGCAGACTTGGGTGCTGGTGCTAGCCCCAGCTGGCAGCAGCAGCATGCAATCATCCCGCATGCAGATCCAGGGGTCTGTGCTCCCTGGGAAGAGTCCAGCACAGCCCCACAGCCCTCCTGGCGGGGCACAGACCCCCAGATCTGTGTGCAGGATGACAGCAGACTGTTGCTGCTGGCAAGTGCTATGAGTTTTGCTTTGAATTTGCTTTGAACAGTTTGAGGTGCATTTTCCCAGAAATCCCTGCACCTATTTCCTTGAAACTTGGCAGGCTTCATGGGCTCAGCAGGGGATACCATGCCTGCTGTTTTCACCCCCCTGTGCCTTCACACTTACAAGTGACACCAGTTTTGCTTTCAAGATTTTGAGGTGCAGTTTCCCAGAAATGCCTATACCTATCTCCCTGAAACTTGACAGGCTTTGCGGCTTCAGCAGGGGCTACCATTCCTACTGTTTTCATTTGTTTTCATTTCATTTCTTGTCAGGCAAGAAATGACAAAGTTATGGGCATTTTCATGATTCCTCTTTATAGCCTATGGGTGAAACGTCGAAACACGTCGAAACAACAAAACAGTTTAGATGAAATGAAATTGAACAGTGCTTCGAAATGAAACAAAATGATGAAATGAAACACTGCCCTTTCAAAATGGTGAAACAGAAGTCAACACAAAATGGTGTTGTTTTGCACAGCCCTAGTTAGCAACTGCTTGCACTTGTAGTGTTGAAGCACTTGAATGAGCTGTGCAGACCCACTGTGAAGGTCTGAGAATAAGGTCTATAGATGACCAGCTGCTCTGTGAGGGAGGCCTCACACACCATTACAGAGGTGAGAAAATCATAGTACCAGGATAAGGAGTTTATGCACAGGTCAAAGACCACTTGGAATCCAGATATGACACCCCTGAGTGGTGTCAGTGCTGCCTCCTTTGGGGAGACCATTGCCTTACCAGGCCAGAGTGGGAGGGTAGGCTGCTGCCCACTCTTCCCTCAGCATGGACAGCTGCAGCCAGGGTCTCCTCCCTGGGGCAGCTTGACCTAGAGTCCCATGGAGGAAGGGTGGGGTAGAGCTGGATGGTGACCATGGGGGAACACTATACACTACACATTGATTGGAAGGTGCTGGGGTATGGTGGGGCCCCAGAACAGGAGATATGGCATGTGGGAGCTGCTGACCCATGGTCCAAGGAGCCAGGTAGGTGGCTGGTGGGGCCTACTCTCAGGAGCAGCATTGCGGGAGGGGAGGGAAGGGGGACCAAGCTGCCTGAGACCCGATGCCAGGGCTGGCATTGGCTCAACCCACCTTCCAGGGCTGAGTAGCTAGTCCTGGCTGCTGGAAGCTGCTGGCATAGGCACAGGGCCCCAAAGAGATTCCAGGGCAGTCCCAGAAGGGAAAGAAGCACTCAGAATGGGGGTGGGGTAGCCCACCTGTCCACTGGGCCAGGTCACTGAGGGCCTGGGTCCCACTGCAGGGGAGCAGCGCAGCCTCTGAAAATAGGCAGACATTTAATTTAATAGATTTCATAGATATCATAGACATTCAGCCTGGAAGGGACCCTGGAGGATCATTGAGCCCAGCCCCTGCCCAGGGGCAGGAAGTCAGCAGGGATCATAGTATCCCAGCAAGATAAACATCCAAAAGTGTCTTGAAGGCGTTCAAAGTGGGTGCTTGAACCACCTGTGATGGCAGTCTATTCCAAACCTTGGGGGCTTGGGCAGTAAAGAAGTTCTTCCTTACGTCCACCCTGAAATGGTCACAGAGGAGTTTGTGACCATTCAATTTTGTCATCCCTTGGGCACTCTGGTGAACAGATGTTCCCTCAGATCCTGGTGAACACCTCTAACAGACTTATAGGTGGCCACTAGATTGCCCCTGAGCCTGCACTTTTCCAGACTGAAGAGTCCCATGGCTCTCAGCCTCTCGTCATAAGGTCTGTTATCCTGACCTCTGACCAATGTGCGTGGCTCTCCTCTGCACTCTCCCAAGCTTCTCCACATCCTTTTTGAATTGTGGAGCCCAAAACTGGACACAGTACTCCAGCTGCGGCCTCACCAAGGCTGAGTACAAGGGGAGAATGACGTCCTGGGATTTGCTTGAGAAGTATCTATGGATGCAGGCCAGCATTTTGCTCGCTTTACTAGCCACAGCATCACATTGAAGGCTCATGATCATCTTGTGGTCAGTCATGACCCCCAAGTCCCTTTCATCTGAAGTGCTAGTCAGCGTAGCACTGCTGAGCCTATAATCATGCTGCAGGTTTTACCTCCCAAGGTGGAGAACCTTGCATTTTTCAGTGTTAAACACCATCAGGCTCTCATCCACCCATTTCATGAGCCTGTCAAGGTCAGCCTGGATCACCCTCCTGTCCTCAGGTGTGGATGCTTTACCCCAAAGTTTGGTGTCATCGGTGAACTTGGCCAGCCCACTTCTGACACCAATGACTACATCATTGATGAAGATCTTAAAAGTAAAGGCACTAGGACAGAGCCCTGAGGGACCCCACTGGTCACTGGGCACCATGATGATTGACTTCCATCAACCACCACCCTCTGGGTCCTGCTGTGGAGCCAATTCCCCAGCCAGTGGATCGTGGTGAGGTCGAGGCCGCAGTTAGCCAGTTTTGCCAAGAGGTGATCATAGGTTACCAGATTGAAGGCTTTTTTAAAGTCAAGATATATGACATCAATCTCTTCTCCCTTGTCCAGGTGATAGGTCACCTGGTCATAAAAGGAAATGGGATTGGTCAAGCAAGACCTACCTGCAAGAAACCCATGCTGGGTATCCCTCAGGATATTGCCATCAGCTAGCCTGTATAGGACGGCCTCTTTGATAATCTTTTCCAAGACTTTTCCCAGGATAGAGGTCAGGCTGATGGGTCTGTAGTTTGCTGGATCTACTTTCCTCCCTTTTTTGAAAATAGGCACCACATTGGCCTTCCAATCGTTGGGCACTTCATCAGAGCACCAGCAATTCTCAAAGATCCATGCCAGGGGCTGAGCTATGATGCCTGCTAGCTCTTTAAAACAAGGGGTGGCAGTTTTGCACACAGCATTCCCGCTGGCACTCCATAGTTTCATATTTGTTAAGTCGAGCCCCTGTGCCTGTTCACCGTCTACCTGCTCAGCAACATAACTGCCTGGTGAAGCCAGGGTTTTTTCCCACTGTCTCAATGTTAACTGAGAAGAAGGTTCCAACTTCCAGAGCAGGCAATGATCTACAGTTTCTGCTTAATAAACACACTAAGAGTTTAGCAGCTTCAGCATTTGATTAAAATGAGGCAACTCTCTTCCTCAGGCTGGATTCCCCCACAACCCTGGTATGTGCCTCTAGGAAGAGTTGGGGAGGGAGAGGGAAAGGGGGACGGTGCCTGGGCAGCCTGTGTTGTGGGCAGTGATACCTGTGATGCAGGGCCAAAAGCAGCCCGGGCTGGAGATCATGGGCTGGTGCCATGGTACGGGCAGTCAAAGCTTTCTGGCCATGCTCATCTGGGGAGGGCTCCCAGTCTATGTGGGTGAGAAGCTACTCAGCCCTGGCTTCACAGATCTGGACAGACTGCTGCTGTATGGACCTAGGGCCTCCAATATTGGTAGAGGGGGAATATAGGCATCCAGGACACACACACACACACATAACCCAGGCATCTTAGGTACACACACATACACATATACAGAACTTAGGCATCCGGGACACTCACATTTGGTGGGTGGCTGATAGCTCATGGCCATGACAAGCCACTGCCACATGAGGTCCAAGTGAGTGGCTGTGATGTCCCTGCCAGCCAGTCAGGGGTGGCTCAGCCTTTCAGCTCCACTTGGTAGTCTTCAGCAGCCCAGGGCATGTTGGGAGGCATGTGAGAGCCCCCTTACCTGCTGGGTTTGGGCAGTGCAGGCAGGCTCCAAGCCCCCCGCACTCCCACAAAATTATGCTCTGCTTCCTCTCCACCTAACTGTGGGCACTTAGAGTAAATCTTGATAGTTAGAACACTTCCGCCTTGGGCTTCTTCAATGACTGTACTTAGCCATTGTGTCCAGGAAAACAAGTAAAAGCCTAGTAATTAATTAACCCTGGAATCTACAATTAACTAACCCCATGATACTATTATCTACACCAGATCAGTATCTGCCCTACACTTGATATTCAAGAGTTGCATACTCTCTACTTTCTGACTAAGAAGGTAAGTTAGCTACTACAATTTAATGAGGTGATGTTTAAACCTGTGTTAGCATCGAATGTAAAGCAGAGTTAATCATCTTCCCAACCACATTAGATGGTCAGGGTCAGCGTTAGGGCAGAAAACCTTCAAAGCAGTTAAACAGTAGGTTCAAGTCACTAAAGAATTTTGCACAGTCATGTGAACTGCTACACTGGCTTCCCATTCTACTATGTTTCTCTTTAGTCTTCATCATCACTTTAATGGATTTGGGGGCCAGCACATATTCCTCCCAGAATATGAGATGACTCAGTGGGCCATAATAGAAAAACATATGAAAATTTCTGCTCCAGCAGAAGCACTACTGGAGAGTTGCTCAGAATTTCTCTAGGGCAAATCTGTGCTACCTATGGCCCAAGGGTTGGATCTGGACTATGGAGTGATTCCATTGGGCCCACAAGCGGGGGTTTCTACAGTGTTTTGCTGGTGGGGGCTCCTGCTACAAGTTGGTTATGAGGGGCTTCACCAATAGGATGACCAGGCATGGGGAGAAGTGTCAGCTGCTAGGTGGTTGGGAGAAGAAGCAGTGGTGTAGTAGTGGCAATGGCAACAGCTGAGTCATAAGGGCTGGTCTTCTTCAGACCAAGCTGAATTATTTCAGCCTGCTGCTCCTGAAATATTGCCCATGCCTGCTCTAGGGCCTGATACAAAGCTAACTGAAGTCAATGGGAGCCTTTACATTGACTTCATCAGGCTTTGGATCAGGTGCACAACAGACTGATACAGATATAGCTGTAACAAGCAGCACAGAAGGTGCAAGTGTGTGGCCATAAATGGTGCAGAATTATGCCAGCAATAGTTTTAATTACCTGGATCCTCAGCTGGAATGAGTCAGCCTAACGTTATTTACATCCATAGAACAATGTAGCAAAACCCCCAGTTGTTCTTTTTTTTTTTTTAATTTAAAAATACATTCCCTTCCCTTAACCATTTCTGACTTTTTCTCTCCCTATTCCCTATAGATAAGTATAAGTGAGCTAAGACATAGGATAAGCTTCAGCATTTTATTTTGGTAGCAAGTTGTTTTTGTTTTATTTATTTTTTTCTCCTTCTTTTCAAATAAGTGCCCTATTATGGATATCCACTGTTTTATATTGTATAATTATTATGTGTATGTTAATTTTTACTGTTCTACATTAATACTATATGATTTAGGCCTATATATGTAAGTTAACATAAGTCATGTCAAGTTTCCATTTTGTTTGTCAAGTCTCCATCTTGTGTCCCCTGCCTGGGCATACCCTATTGTAACTCTGTTGTAACTGTGTGACTCATACCTACCCCTCCTATGTAAATTGGTCCTGAATGAATGGGGACGAATGAGGGTGCCTGAGAGACAATGGCAGTAGGTCTAAAAATAGCTCCCTCTGAATGAATGAACCATCAACTCAACAACCCAACCATCACCTTGTATTGACCCTCCCTGGCTCAAGATTTGAAAGACAAAGACTGCTGCAGAAGCCACTCAAACCACCATTACAGACACCTGAAATTGCATGTCCTGACCTGGAATGCACATGCTCAGTGCACCAGGGGCTAGCCCTTGCCTGGGCAGGCCTCCTGCCACTGGGGTCATAGAAGATCTGCCCCTACAAAAGGGGGCAGTGAAGACAGACCCAGTGGGACACCCTCTTCATCTGGACCAGCACCACACCACACCACCTATCCACCCAGAAGCCCTGCTGGCAACCCCCTCTGGACAACACCTGCTGGACAAAGACCCCTTTCCAGCCTGGATAGGTAGCTATCACTCCCATCCTCTCTTCAACCAAGGACTTGGACTCTGTTTCTCTTCCCTACCTGGACTCCAACCCTTCCACTGAGTCTCTTTCTCCTGCTGCCATTGTGAGTGCTTGTGTGTGTGTGTGTGTGTGTGTAGGAACCAATAACTTCATGGAGCTGTGTAGTGCGTTGTCTCTTTAATAAACCTGTTATTTTGAAACCCCAAGTTGGGCTCTTGTCTGTTTCCTAACTGTTTCCTCCTTGCCACCACTTATCTGACCTCTGATCTCCTGGATTTCCACCTCAATTTCCAGCCCCAGTCTCCCAGCTTTTTGCCTCAAGTTTCCAGCCCCAATCTCCCAGGTTTCTGCCTCTCTCCCTTTCCTGGCTGTCTCCTCCTTGCCACCGGGCTTTTTCCCTTGCACCAATGACTTTGAGTAACCCTAGGGCCATTTGACCTTAAGTAACCCCAGCTCCCCTCCAGTCTGCCGCTTCTAATCCTGGCCCCAGGAACTTTCACTCCTGGAACTTTCACTCTCTCATTTTAACCCCATCCATCTCCCTCCTTCCCCTCCTGCTGGAGATCTTTGACCCTTGATTTCTCCTCCCATAGTCACCAAGCACCCTAGGTATCCCAAATACCCCAAGAACACACATACACACACTGTACCCTCCAAATTAGGAACTCACCTGTGTGTATGTGTAGGTGGGTGGTATGTGTGAGAACTGGTGAATACACACACACACACACACACACACATATGTCATCATGTGTGTGATATATGAATTAGTGATCCATGTATGTGTATTGGGTGTGCGGGTATTGACAATTGATTTTTCTCTAACTTTTAGTGTGTATAGCGTATAGGTGCTTGAACTGGTAATCGGTATGCATGTGTCTAGGCTGGGAATTTTGGATGTGTATGTGCCTGAGTTGGTAGTGTGTGTGTGTGTGTGTGTGTGTGCGCGCGCGCGCGCGCGCACACCTGGTGGGGGTGTATGCACCTAGAGTGTGTGCGCGCGCGCCTAATTGATGTGTGTGTGTGTGTGTGTGTATGTGCAATTGTACACCACTCCCTCCTGTCTAACAGCGCAATATTGAGATCCTGAGTGTTGGCCTGACCCCACAGGGCAACATCAAGACTAGTTTATATAAGCTGAGGGTTTGGCAGACTATAACAACGCAGTGCTACAAATTCATTAGAATTAGAATCAAGTACTGCTGAGTGCATTCTGGTTAGAATGTGTTCTGATTAGAACGTGCTGGAGCAGGCTTGATTCATTGAGTCTGCTGGAGTGCTCTAATTAGAAAGCTCCAGCGTGCTGCAGCTTCTCATGTATTCCATGTCCCCATGTCTCAAAATAGCAGCACGGGTGCTTTAACTAAAGCTTGTTGAACAAACTTTAGTTAAAGTGCCCCGCCACCATTTTGAAACACAGGACACTAAGTACAGTAGACACTGACTATATAAGACTCCCAAGAGCCGCTCTAATTAAATGCTTCCCGTCCCTGCCCTCCCTTGAGCATGTGTATAGGTGCCCATTGAGTCTAACATGAGTGCAAGTGGGTCAAAGAAGGAAAAGGATAAATACAGTGGGAAGAATGAACCTGCTTGACATCAGCACAGTGGGGTAGACAGTATTTTCATGGAGCCTTATGATTAACTGGCAAGCACAATTTAAAATATCAGGATAAAAATATTGAATTATGAAATGATGTTCAACGTGAATGAATATGTACTATTTCTTTAATGCAATTTGTTTATTATAGTAGAGAGAGACTCCAGGGGATGGTTTTCTGAGTGCATTTTCTAACAAGGAGTGATCTAGTAATCTCCTTACATCTTGAATTAATCCATCTTCTGGTTGGACATAATAAAGATTTGAATTAACTGAGAAAAGACTAATTGCAGTAGGCATATAACAGCCCCCTTTCTCTCTATTAAGCCTCTGTTAATAACGTGTGAAGGAATAACAACAAAGAGCTTCTGTGCTCATTTTAAAGGACCCTTAAGGGCATGTGCAGCTTGTAAGAAACCTTTCTTTGGCTAATGCCAGCTGAATCACTAAGAAAGCCCAGTGTCAATAGTTTGTTACAAAGAACCATTGCATGGAAGGGAAGTATTTTCTTGGATGACTTTCTAATGACTGTCAAACATTTGTAGCCATTAAACAAAAGGAAGCATTGTAATGATTAGATGCAACGCACATAACACATCCAATGCTGTCGTTATATCTGCTGACGCCTAGGAACTTCAGTAGCTTTAAAAACAAATTTAAAAAATCATTTCATGATTCAGAGTTTTCCATACTTGAGTCTTTCTCATTTGATTTTTTTCCTACAATATTGTTTTATTGCTAAGGTCTTAGTGCTGCTATTAAATCCTAACTTCATGCATTTTTTGGCCCTTTTAAAGTAAAATAATAGAAAAACATTTTTTTCAGTAGGATTGCCTAAGCTTTTCTAGCTCCTCAGCTGTCTTTATCATGCTTATTCTTTTTTCCTGAATCAACATATACTGCCATCAGTTTACCATCTGTAAACCATAGGCTGCTTGCAGACTTTAAAAAAAGAAAAAACAAGCTTTACCGGAACAAGCAGCACGTTAGTTTAGCCCGGCTCTACAGCATCTGTATAGATCGGATGCTTCAGCAGGGCTTTTTGGAGCTTTTATCTAAAGCTGATTAAATCAATTACTAAGTAAAAATGCCAAAAGCCCCACTAAAGCACCTGATCTATACAGATATTGGGTGAGCTGGGTCCAATTAATATGCTGCCTTTTCCGGGCATGTGCTGGGCTCGACATGGGAATACACCAAGTTTTTAATATAAAGCACCTTTTCTCTTTTTTTTTCTTTTTTTAACATTTGCAAACAGCCATAATAACTTGTTTACTTGTAACCAAACATTTGCTATGTGAATCTAAAGTTATGGTCCAGGTCTTATAATATCTGAAAAATACTGCCATACATTGATATCCAAACTGGAGTTTAGTTTCAAGGGGCCAACTTCTACCTTTTAGACTTGTAAGTGGGCTTAGGCACTTATGTACAATTATTGTTCACCCAGCTTGAGTCCTT